TGTCGATTTTGAAAATGGTGAGAAGAAATGTGATACATTCAAATTAAACGTGGAGATCTTCTCTTCTGACACTGGGGAGTGGAGAGAATCATTTGTCTCGTCCCCACGGCACTTCAATTTTGGCCGCCTCAAGGAGTTATCCTTTACATACAATGGAATGTTATATTGGCTATCAGATCGCGACTTTATTGTTATTGGTTTGGGTCCATTCTACGACAATGATGGAACTAGCAGCAGCAACAATAATGGTGATGGTATTATTGATCATAAACTGGGTTTCACCATATTTGAGGAGACTCTAGACTTTGGTTGTATGCTTCAGTACTCAGGTGTGTGCAGAGGATATGTGCTATTGTGCAACATGAGCATGCTCTCCAGAAGTCTGTATGTATATAATTTGAAACAATCACAAGATGATGGAGGAGCTGCTGCTGGCAAAAAGTTGTATTTGAGTAAACGCGGAGTTTATTCCTTTGATGCTGAAATGATATCGTTCAAATCGAATATCTTACTGATTGCTTTTGACCCAAGTAATAAGGATATTTTTTATCTGCGTGTGGACGATGATATTATCAAGTGGAATGTTCACACAGGACAGTGGTCAAAGATATTTAGACACTGGGTAAAACGTTGTGACTATTACACAGTTGTGCTCCCATGGTGGCCGACCTCAATTCCTAGACTACCCCAGCAGCAGCAGCAGCGTGCCCATCTCTGCTAGCTCGTAGATTGCAAAGAATTAAAGTAGTAAACTTTTATTTGTTTACGATTGGACTTTGTCTTTTAATTGGGAGTGGTTAATTTTCTGCAGTTTTCTCATGCAGGCGAATTCAGGAATTCCTGTATGTGTATATATGCTCGTTGCCATCTAGAGTGTATCTTAATTTCCCTTCCTGACTCTTTTTCATTCTATTAATTAAGAATAATGTAGCTCTCTCTAGCTCTCATGACAAGGCTAGTTTAGCATTGTTGTGCTGTAAAAATAATCACTGACAGATTTGCTGTGAAAAAAATCAATTGTGAGAGAAAGTAGTTTGTATAATATATTGCATGGCGCAGGTCGACGAGAGGCGATACTGCTACCAAAGCAAGGAAGAGAACCCGATTGTCTTTTGGATTGCCGACCTCGAGTAAGTTAAAAAGATCAAAGAGATCATTATCAGCAGAAAGAAGAACATCAATTGATGATCTACCTAACGTTATATTGGCTGAAATCCTATGCCGACTTGCATGCACTAAATATGTTTTTCAATGCAAAACTGTGTCCAAGCGTTGGTGCACCCTCATGGAAGATCCTTATTTTATTGGCTGCTTTGTAAGTATCCAAAGTAATAAGGGAATTCCAAAGATACGCACTTTGATAACCAAAAGAGCTGTGGAATTCCGTACTATGTTGTCGTCGTCACCCAATCTACGAACTTGGGCGCTCAATATGTGGAGATATCCAATAATATAATAGCACATGAATTTTTTTTTAAATATAGGTAAAAACTTAAATTCCATTAAAAAAAATATAAGATTATTTTATTTATTAAAAAAACTGCACCTCTCCTTGCCCCTTCCACCTCCCCTCTTTGCCTCCCAATCTGGTCTCTCTCTCGCTTTCTCCCCCATCCAAAGTAGAACCAACTCATACACAGCACCCTTAATCCACACCTCTAGACCTCTCCCTGACCCACACCCACAACAGACCCCCCACATTAGATCCAACCCACAAACCCTAATATAAGGTTTTTTGTGGAAAAATGCCCTGAACTATCACGCATGTCAAAGTGATCACCCTGAAATTTTTTGATCGCCAATTTACATCCCTCCTCCTCTCTCTCTACCCCCCCCCAAAAAGGTCAGTTTTTAGCAAATTCCATCCAAATCTTTGTTTTTAAAAAAACCAAATGAATGCCATGTGCCTCAACTTTTGAGGGTATTCTTGTCCAACCCCCATCCCCACCACCTAGATCCACCTCCTCCTCGCACTCTTCCATAACCTAGTGCAAACCCACCACCACCGCTGCCATAGAGAAAAGGGTTGGCGATGGTGTTTGACGTAATCATAGACAAGAAGATAGTGTTTTGACGCCATCTCAAGGCTGTATCGAAGAAGCATAAGTTGGAAGTCGCCGTCGCCTCCCTTAATTCGTTACTCAGCCCACTACGCCTTCGCTTCCCCTTTGCCTTCGGAAATTGCATTACTACGTCGTTTGTTGAGTTGCCACCATCTTGAAGACCTTATACCCCTTGTCGGTATTGGTCATCTCCAATGGACCATCACCCCATAGCTCCTTCAAGTCTTCCTCTCTCAAATTCTCTGGGTCCTCCGGAAAATCAAAGAGGTCCTCGTAAAAAACGTAGCTTTTGTCCTCCTTTTTTATGCAAATTTCTCATCTGAGAATATTTGTAGATGATTCTTCTCTCTTGTTCATCCCTCCTACTAGATTCCCTGCAAGACAAAATAAATCAATCGAAAAACCATCGGTGTGGTGGTAGCCAAGTGCCCTCCGATGCCTAAGTCAGTAATAACACGGAGTAGTTTTGAAAGGTGCAGAGGCTTAAATCCAATATGATCCAATCCAACCCAATTGATATTGGATTAGACTGGATTTGATGATCAGTTTTCATAATGAAACAAATATAATAATGAAATATGAAACATTTATAGTCAAATTGAATATAATCAAATATTTTAATAGACATCAATATAAAATATAAGTGTAATGTTAGAGAAAATTATTTTGATTTTATAATATATTAAACATAACTCAATCAAATTACTTATAATGTTTATAACTTTCTTAATGAAAATTACCTAATGAGCAAATAAGCATGAAACTAATTAGATTTGATTTGATTTGATTAAATTTTCACAAGCAAATCAACCATCTGATCCAATCATATAGTACATGAAGGGTCACATACATTATGAATTTACATTTATAATGTAACTCATAATGGGGAACATCATCGATCAGTTTGGGCGGATTGGATTGGATCTTCTGCACCCCTATTCTAATTATTGGAGAACTAGCCCATGAGGCATCCATCATTTTTACCCATTATATTCTTATACAAATTTTAAAATTCCAAATTTGCAATTCGCTTCAAACTCAATAATTTATTTAGAATAATTGCATTTTAACAATCAAATTAGTTTCAGTTCATATTCATGACAATTTTGGAAACAACTTAAAAGAGCATGTCCAATAGCCTATTCAACATCGAGAGCATTTTTGTCAACCACTTTAATCCAAAGTGCATGCTCACCATTCTTTTCAACATTTGAGACGTATTCATATGCATAATTATAATTTCATAATACAAAATAAAAAGTTAAACAGAGTTGTCTATAGATACATATCAAATATTAAGAATAGTAGTGATGATACACCTTGAGTTAAAGGAAACATGCCTCCTCAATTTAATTGATATTGACTTTTCAAAATTAATCATTTCTGCTCAATTCAGTTCCTCTAATCCGATTAGGATCAGTAAACATGCCACAATATGATATTTTCGTGAACTGTGAAATTAAGCCATTTATTTATCTCACGTCTCTCTCTCTCTCTATCCTCTCTTTCTCGAATCCCTTAACAATAAGGAATTGGATTGCAGTATACCCAAAACTAAAAGGAACCAGCCAGCTCATCCACCATAAAAGCGTCCCAACCGTGAGAATCACCATTCCATTGTTCCGATATCTAAGTTTATTTATTTGTTTTTTTCAAACTGAATCTTATCTCTCGGTATTTCTTCTCTCATGGTTGAATCGGAAAACCCCCTCCTCAATGAATTCTGTGCTGCCGCCGCGCAGTCCCGCAGGCTCCGCATCCGCTTCAAGGGCCCCGTCCCTTGTCCTGTGCCGGACCCCAACGCCGGCCAATGCTTGAAACAGAGCGTCAATACTTGTAAAAGCTTCAATAGGAACAGAATTGCCGACAATGGTAAGAAATTTCATTTCTACAATCTGTGGAATTTAGTTACCCTTTTTGAATCTGGTTTCATGACCATTACGCACTTTGTTATTGGTGACTAGAATTAACGGTTAAGGTAATAGGAATTTTCATATGTTAATGGGTCTTATTAAAAATTTGGTAGTCATGGTCAGGAAGAAACTGTCTGTATGTTCATTGCTGCTGTTGAAAATCACTTGCGTTGTGTGCCATGCGTTTTATGAGTTTTGAACTCTTGGTAAACCGTTTACCAGTTCAAGCTTTTCCATTAGATTGATGCTTTAATTGTTATTGCTTATGTGCTGGGTGGACTACTTGTAGTTTTCGTTTCCCAATGTATGCAGAACTATTTTTATTTTGATGGCCAATGTAGTTAGACTCTTGTTTTATGAATCTTGCAGGAATTCAGAAATCTAGTGATGCTAAACATGTTGCTAGATCTGCAAAGATGCCCGAGTTCAGCACCAATACTCTTATGAGCTCTAAGCATGACAATGGTTCCATGAAGCTTTTATCTGGATTTGTTGAGCAGAACCAATTCAAGGCCAACACTCTATGCAGGTTTGTTTCAGATTACACAATTTCTATTCCTAGAGTTGAAAACAGATTAGAATTCACACTTCTCTATCCCTTCTAGAGATAAATAGTTTTAGGAACATTCATGTGATCTAGGCCTCATTTCTTTATAAGTTTTTCGGACCTGGGTTTCCAACATTTAGATTTAGGTTGTTGATTAGATGCCGGTGTATTTGTTGAATACAATTGTCTGGTGAAGGTTTACTTACTGTCATCCATAGTTCCATACCTTGCATTCTGCAATATACCTTAACATTTTGGTGAAACAACAAAAACTTTCCGAAAACTATAGAGGATTGGAAAACAGCATTTTAGTGAACAAGGATGCATCAACTCGGAAAACCATGTTAATCAGTGTACATACCTTCCTATACACAACTTTGAACCTGGGGCTCCTTGCCGAACTCTAGGCAGGAAACACTAGCGACTAGCTAGGTAGGTACCTTTGGGGTTTCAAACAAACATGCCACAATCTGATATATTTTCGTGAACTGTGAAATTAAGCCATTTATTTATCTCACGTCTCTCTCTCTCTCTCTCTCCTCTCTCTCTCGAAACCCTTAACAATAAGGAATTGAATTGCAGTATACCCGAAACTAAAAGGAATCAGCCAGCTCATCCACCATAAAACCCTCCCGGCCGTGAGAATCACCATTCCATTGTTCCGATATCTAATAAGTTTATTTATTTGTTTTTTTCAAACTGAATCTTATCTCTCGGTATTTCTTCTCTCATGGTTGAATCGGAAAACCCCCTCCTCAATGAATTCTGTGCTGCCGCCGCGCAGTCCCGCAGGCTCCGCATCCGCTTCAAGGGCCCCGTCCCTTGTCCTGTGCCGGACCCCAACGCCGGCCAATGCTTGAAACAGAGCGTCAATACTTGTAAAAGCTTCAATAGGAACAGAATTGCCGACAATGGTAAGAAATTTCATTTCTACAATCTGTGGAATTTAGTTACCCTTTTTGAATCTGGTTTCATGACCATTACGCACTTTGTTATTGGTGACTAGAATTAACGGTTAAGGTAATAGGAATTTTCATATGTTAATGGGTCTTATTAAAAATTTGGTAGTCATGGTCAGGAAGAAACTGTCTATATGTTCTTCGCTGCTGTTGAAAATCACTTGCGTTGTGTGCCATGCGTTTTATGAGTTTTGAACTCTTGGTAAACCGTTTTATGCTTTAATTGTTATTGCTTATGTGCTGGGTGGACTACTTGTAGTTTTCGTTTCCCAATGTATGCAGAACTATTTTTATTTTGATGGCCAATGTAGTTAGACTCTTGTTTTATGAATCTTGCAGGAATTCAGAAATCTAGTGATGCTAAATTGTTGCTAGATCTGCAAAGATACCCGAGTTCAGCACCAATACTCTTATGAGCTCTAAGCATGACAATGGTTCCATGAAGCTTTTATCTGGATTTGTTGAGCAGAACCAATTCAAGGCCAATACTCTATGCAGGTTTCTTTCAAATTACACAATTTCTATTCCTAGAGTTGAAAACAGATTAGCATTCTCACTTCTCTATCCCTTCTAGGGATAAATAGTTTTAGGAACATTCATGTGATCTAGGCCTCATTTCTTTATAAATTTTCGGACCCAGGTTTCCAACATTTAGATTTAGGTTGTTGATTAGAAGCCGGTGTATTTGTTGAATACAATTGTTTGGTGAAGGTTTACTGTCATCCACAGTTCCATACCTTGCATTCTCCAATGTACCTTACATTTTGGTAAAACAACTAAAACTTTCTGAAAAATTTAGGGGATTGGAAAACAGTATTTTAGTGAACAAGGATGCATAAACTCGGAAAACCATTTTCATCAGTGTACATACCTTCCTATACACAGCTTTTAAACTGGGGCTCCCTGCCAAACCCTACAATCTTTGGGAGGCAGGAAACAATAGCGACTAGTTAGGTAGGTACCTTTGGGGTTTCAAACCTCAGCCCACATGAGAGCAAACATGCACCTGACCATTCCGACTAACCATCCGTTGGTATCATCACCATATCTAGAAACAAGGATAAACAAGTTTTATCTCTATTCTCTTTCTTAAGAAAACAATGTGGTGGAAAAGGACTTTCTTTCAGGTACATTATGTTCTTTAAGTCTTAGACCTGAAAAAAATTATCCAAGCACGAGCCCGTACCTATTTTTTGGGCTATGGGCTAGACCGACCAGGAATTATGAGCGGGCTTAGCCCGGCCCGTTGTCTAAAGTATAGGGCTTTTAAGCCCATGGGCAGCCTGACACGGCCCGGCCTGATAATTAAGTTAATATATATTATAATATGTTAATAAAATAAGCGTACATTAATTACCTCTTCATTGAATTATAAAATTTAAAAGAAACTAATGACCTATTTAATAGTAATATTAATTATCATTCTATTTTATATTATTATAACAGTAAACTAGTTTTAATTATGATTGCATTTAATTTGTTATTAGTGGCTCATTTGATAGGGCCACATAGGCTCGGTCCATGAGCTCGATAGTTCATGGCCCTTTTGTAGGGCTTGGACTTAGCCTATTTAAGATAGGGCGGGCCGGCATTCAACTGTTAGGGCTGAAAAAGCTCATGACTGGTAGGGCATGGGATAAACCCTGTTCGCTTGGCCTGACCCATTTTACAGGCCTCATTCTGCCATACAAATTCGTTTTAGTTAAATGAACCATTCGTCGTTCCACACAACATTTTTTTTATAGGGCATAAATTATGTGTATAATATATTGCATGGCGCAGGTCGACGAGAGGCGATACTGCTGCCAAAGCAAGGAAGAGAACCCGATTGTCTCTTGGATTGCCGACCTCGAGTAAGTTAAAAAGATCAAAGAGATCATTATCAGCAGAGAGAAGAACATCAATTGATGATCTACCCAACGTTATATTGTCTGAAATCCTAAGCCGACTTGCATGCAATAATTATGTTTTTCAGTGCAAAACTGTGTCCAAGCGTTGGTGCACCCTCATCGAAGATCCTTATTTTATTGGCTGCTTTGTAAGAATCCAAAGTTATAAGGGAATTCCAAAGATACGCACTTTGATTACCAAAAGAGCTGTGGAATTCCGTCCTATACGAACTCGGGCACTCAATATGTTCATGCGTTTCCACGGTTTGATGGAAAAACCAGTTGTTGTAGCGACATATAATGACTTAGTTTTGTGCTGCATGACCGAGGATTATCAACACATATACTACATCTGCAATGAATGCACCATGCAGTATGTTGTACTTCCTCCCACCCCAAGTCGATGTCACAAGAGTGTGCGGGTAGGATTCATCTGCAATGTTCCTGACTATAAATGTGAGGAAGATGATTGGAAAGGAAACAACTTCCAGCATAATGTTGAGTGTAGGTACACGGTTGTGAGAATTCTTCCTCCTGTCGATTTTGAAAATGGTGAGAAGAAATGTGATACATTCAAATTAAACGTGGAGATCTTCTCTTCTGACACTGGGGAGTGGAGAGAATCATTTGTCTCGTCCCCACGGCACTTCAATTTTGGCCGCCTCAAGGAGTTATCCTTTACATACAATGGAATGTTATATTGGCTAACAGAGCAGGACTTTATTGTTATTGGTTTGGGTCCATTCTACGACAATGATGGAACTAGCAGCAGCAACAATAATGGTGATGGTATTATTGATCATAAACTGGGTTTCACCATATTTGAGGAGACTCTAGACTTTGGTTGTATGCTTCAGTACTCAGGTGTGTGCAGAGGATATGTGCTATTGTGCAACATGAGCATGCTCTCCAGAAGTCTGTATGTATATGAGTTGAAACAATCGCAAGATGATGGAGGAGCTGCTGCTGGCAAAAAGTTGTATTTGAGTAAACGTAGAGGTTATTCCTTTGATGCTGAAATGATTCCGTTCAAATCGAATATGTTACTGATTGCTTTTGACCCACGTAATAAGGATATTTTTTATCTGCGTGTGGACGATGATATTATCAAGTGGAATGTTCACACAGGAAAGTGGTCAAAGATATTTAGACACTGGGTAAAACGTTGTGACTATTACACAGTTGTGCTCCCATGGTGGCCGACCTCAATTCCTAGACAGCAGTAGCAGCAGCAGCGTGCCCATCTCTGCTAGCTCGTAGATTGCAAGAATTAAAGTAGTAAACTTTTATTTGTTTGCGATTGGACTTTGTCTTTTAATTGGGAGTGGTTAATTTTCTGCAGTTTTCTCATGCAGACGAATTCAGGAATTCCTGGATGTGTATATATGCTCGTTGCCATCTAGAGCGTATCTTAATTTCCCTTCCTGACTCTTTTTCATTCTATTAATTAAGAATAATGTAGCTCTCTAGGTACGATATGTATTTTCTTTTTCTATTCACCAAGGAAACTTGTTTGAATTTTAATAGACATCAATATAAAATATAAATTATATGTTAGACAAAATTATTTTGATTTTATAATATATTAAACATAACTCAATCAAATTACTTATAATGTTTATAACTTTCTTAATGAAAATTACCTAATGAGCGAAATAACTTTCTTGGATTTGATTTGATTAAATCTTCACAAGCAAATCAGCCATCTAATCCAATCATATGGTACATGAAGAGTCACATACATTATGAATTTACATTTATAATGTAACTCATAATGGGGAACATCATCGATCGGTTTGGGCGGATTGGATTGGATCTTGCACATCCCTATTCTAATTATTGGAGAACTAGCCCATGAGGCATCCATCATTTTTACCCATCATATACTTATACAAAATTTAAAATTCTAAATTTGTAATTCACTATAAACTCAATAATTTATTTAGAATAAGTGCATTTTAACAATCAAATTGCTTTCAGTTCATATTCATGACATGGCCAGTTTGGCATTACTGTACTGTAAAAATAATACAAATTTATAAATAAACCCAATCCTAGACATGTATTTATAAAAAAACCCAAACACTATTTAAACATAGAAACACACCCAAAATCAACCCCAAAGTCAACTTTTTAGGTGTGTTTATAAATGGGTTTTGAGTGTTTAATGATGGGTTTTGGGTGTGTTTATAAAGTGTTTTGGGTGTTGGGTTTTTTTATAATTTCAACCTCTATTTTGGGTGTTTTAGTGAAACTCCCTAAAAATAATCAATGCCAGATTTGCTGTGAAAGAAATCAATTGTGAGATAAAGTAGTTTGGCGTTTGGTAAACTTTTTGTTAGAAGTACGGTTGGTAATAAATAAAAAAGGGGGTTATTTTTTGAATTTCGAAAGTTTCATTGAGTCCAGCGCCTCTTTAAAATAATGAAAGCAACTCATTACCAGCTTTCCTTAATTGTTTTCTCTCATAGCATTTATTCAAAATAAGTGATTTTATTATCTTTTACCAAACAGGTTGCGCTTTCAAAAAATTCAAAATAATCACTTATAGCCCCAAATATGCAATGTCAAACGGGTACTTAGGAAACAACTTAAAAGAGCATCTCTGATAGCCTATTCAACAGCGAAAGCATTTTTGTCTACCACTTTAATCCAAAGTGTATGTTCACCACTCTTTTCAACATTTGACACGTGTTCATATGCATAACTATATAGTTTCATAATACAAAATAAAAAGTTAAACATAGCTATGTTTATGGATACATATCAAGTATTAAGAAGGGTGGTGATGATATACCTTAAGTTAAAGTAACATGCCTCCTCAATTTAATTGATATTGGCTTTTCAAAATTAATCATTTCTGCTCAATTCAGTTCCTCTAATCCGATTAGGATTAGTAAACATGCCACAATCTGATATATTTTCGTGAACTGTGAAATTAAGCCATTTATTTATCTCACGTCTCTCTCTCTCTCCCTCTCTCTCTCTCCCTCTCTCTCTCGAAACCCTTAACAATAAGGAATTGAATTGCAGTATACCCGAAACTAAAAGGAATCAGCCAGCTCATCCACCATAAAACCCTCCCGGCCGTGAGAATCACCATTCCATTGTTCCGACATCTAATAAGTTTATTTATTTGTTTTTTTCAAACTGAATCTTATCTCTCGGTATTTCTTCTCTCATGGCTGAATCGGAAAACCCCCTCCTCAATGAATTCTGTGCTGCCGACGCTGGCGCCGCCGCGCAATCCCGCCGGCTCCGCATCCGCTTCAAGGGCCCCGCCCCCTGTCCTGTGCCGGCCCCCAACCCCCGCCCACCCTCTCAACACAGCGCTAATGCTTGTAAGACCCTTACGCACTTTGTTATTGGTGACTAGAATTAACGGTTAAGGTAATAGGAATTTTCATATGTTAATGGGTCTTATTAAAAATTTGGTAGTCATGGTCAGGAAGAAACTGTCTGTATGTTCATTGCTGCTGTTGAAAATCACTTGCGTTGTGTGCGATTCGTTTTATGAGTTTTGAACTCTTGGTAAACCGTTTACCAGTTCAAGCTTTTCCATTAGATTGATGCTTTAATTGTTATTGCTTATGTGCTGGGTGGACTACTTGTAGTTTTCGTTTCCCAATGTATGCAGAACTATTTTTATTTTGATGGCCAATGTAGTTAGAATCTTGTTTTATGAATCTTGCAGGAATTCAGAAATCTAGTGATGCTAAACATGTTGCTAGATCTGCAAAGATGCCCGAGTTCAGCACCAATACTCTTATGAGCTCTAAGCATGACAATGGTTCCATGAAGCTTTTATCTGGATTTGTTGAGCAGAACCAATTCAAGGCCAATACTCTATGCAGGTTTCTTTCAAATTACACAATTTCTATTCCTAGAGTTGAAAACAGATTAGAATTCACACTTCTCTATCTCTTCTAGAGATAAATAGTTTTAGGAACATTCATGTGATCTAGGCCTCATTTCTTTATAAATTTTTCGGACCTGGGTTTCCAACATTTAGATTTAGGTTGTTGATTAGAAGCCGGTGTATTTGTTGAATACAATTGTTTGGTGAAGGTTTACTTACTGTCATCCATAGTTCCATACCTTGCATTCTGCAATATACCTTAACATTTTGGTAAAACAACAAAAACTTTCCAAAAACTATAGAGGATTGGAAAACAGCATTTTAGTGAACAAGGATGCATCAACTCGGAAAACCATGTTAATCAGTGTACATACCTTCCTATACACAGCTTTTAAACTGGGGCTCCTTGCCGAGCTCTATAATCTTTGGGAGGCAGGAAACACTAGCGACTAGCTAGGTAGGTACCTTTGGGGTTTCAAGCCTCAGCCCACATGAGAGCAAACATGCACCTGACCATTCCGACTAACCATCCATTGGTATCATCACCATATCTAGAAACAAGGATAAACAAGTTTTATCTCTATTCTCTTTCTTAAGAAAACAATGTGGTGGAAAAGGACTTTCTTTCAGGTACATTATGTTCTTTAAGTCTTAGGCCTGTAAAAATTACCCAAGCACGAGCCCGTACCTATTTTTTGGGCTATGGGCTAGCCCGACCCTGTATTATGGGCGGGCTTAGCCCGGCCTGTTGTCTAAAGTGTAGGGCTTGGGCCTTAACTTTTAAGCCCATGGGCAGCCGGACATGGCCCGGCCTGATAATTAAGTTAATATATATTATAATAAGTTAATAAAATAAGCGTGCATAAATTACCTCTTCATTGCATTATAAAATTTAAAAGAAACTAATGACCTATTTAATACTAATATTAATTATCATTCTATTTTATATTATTATAACAGTAAACTAGTTTTAATTATGATTGCATTTAATTTGTTATTAGTGGCCCATTTGATAGGGCCACATAGGTTCGGTCCATGAGCTCGATAATTCATGGCCCTTTTGTAGGACTTGGACTTAGCCTATTTAAGATAGGCGGGCCGGTGTTCAACCGTTAGGGCCGAAAAAGCTCATGACTGGTAGGGCATGGGATAAGCCCTGTTCGCTTGGCCTGACCCATTTTACAGGCCTAGTTCTGCCGTACAAATTCGTTTTAGTTAATGAACCATTTGTCGATTCCACGCAACATTTTCTTATAGGGCGTAAATTATATGTATAATATATTGCATGGCGCAGGTCGACGAGAGGCGATACTGTTACCAAAGCAAGGAAGAGAACCCGATTGTCTCTTGGATTGCCGACCTCGAGTAAGTTAAAAAGATCAAAGAGATCATTATCAGCAGAAAGAAGAACATCAATTGATGATCTACCCAACGTTATATTGTCTGAAATCCTAAGCCGACTTGCATGCAATAATTATGTTTTTCAGTGCAAAACTGTGTCCAAGCGTTGGTGCACCCTCATCGAAGATCCTTATTTTATTGGCTGCTTTGTAAGTATCCAAAGTAATAAGGGAATTCCAAAGATACGCACTTTGATAACCAAAGGGGCTGTGGAATTCCGTCCTATGGTGTCGTTGTCACCCAATCTAAGAACTTGGGCGCTCAATAGATTCATGCGTTTCCACCGTTTGATGGAAAAACCAGTTGTTGTAGCGACATATAATGACTTAGTTTTGTGCTGCATGACCGAGGATTATCAACGCACATACTACATCTGCAATGCATACACCATGCAATATGTTGTACTTCCTCCCACCCCAAGTCGATGTCACAAGAGTGTGCGGGTAGGATTCATCTGCAATGTTCCTGACTATAAATGTGAGGAAGATGATTGGAAAGGAAACAACTTCCAGCATAATGTTGAGTGTAGGTACACGGTTGTGAGAATTCTTCCTCCTGTCGATTTTGAAAATGGTGAGAAGAAATGTGATACATTCAAATTAAACGTGGAGATCTTCTCTTCTGACACTGGGGAGTGGAGAGAATCATTTGTCTCGTCCCCACGGCACTTCAATTTTGGCCGCCTCAAGGAGTTATCCTTTACATACAATGGAATGTTATATTGGCTAACAGAGCAGGACTTTATTGTTATTGGTTTGGGTCCATTCTACGACAATGATGGAACTAGCAGCAGCAACAATAATGGTGATGGTATTATTGATCATAAACTGGGTTTCACCATATTTGAGGAGACTCTAGACTTTGGTTGTATGCTTCAGTACTCAGGTGTGTGCAGAGGATATGTGCTATTGTGCAACATGAGCATGCTCTCCAGAAGCCTGTATGTATATGAACTGAAACAATCACAAGATGATGGAGCTGCTGCTGGCAAAAAGTTGTATTTGAGTAAACGCAGGGTTTATTCCTTTGATGCTGAAATGATTCCATTCAAATCGAATATCTTACCGATTGCTTTTGACCCAAGTAATAAGGATATTTTTTATCTGCATGTGGACGATGATATTATCAAGTGGAACGTTCACACAGGAAAGTGGTCAAAGATATTTAAATACTGGGCAAAACGTTGGGGCTATTACACAGTTGTTCTCCCATGGTGGCCGACCTCAATTCCTGGACTACCCCAGCAACAGCAGCAGTAGCAGCAGCAGCAGCAGCATGCCCATCTCTGCTTGCTGGAGGAACTAGAAGCTAGCTAGTAGATTGCAAGAATTAAAGTAGTAAACTTTTATTTGTTTGCGATTGGAATTTGTCTTTTAATTGGGAGTGGTTAATTCTCTGCAGTTTTCTCATGCAGGCGAATTCAGGAATTCCTGTATATGTATATATGCTCGTTGCCATCTAGATTCTAGAGCATATCTTAATTTCCCTTCCTGACTCTTTTTCATTCTATTAATTAAAGAATAATGTAGCTCTCTAGGTACGATATGTATTTTCTTTTTCTTTTCACCAAGAGGAAACTTGTTCGAATTTTAGCATGAGACTCGAGAAAAGAATGAGTCAGCAAATGTTGGATACAAAATTATGATTTTGTTTTTGTTTTGTTACAGAGGTAAATGGGTCCTTTTGATTTTGGCATTGGCTCAACGATCACCAATGGACGAAAAATGGAAGCTCGAAGAACTTCTGAAGATGGCACTACGTTTTCGTTTTCTATGTCCCTTCATCATCTTCTCTTCTACACTCCCATCGGCGAACCAACCAACCACCGGCAACAATGACTGATGGCGAAGACCACCTCCTCTTTAATTACTATGTATAAGCATCTAATGTAATATGATGACGTTTTTAAATAGACCATATTATATATCTATATTAAATTCTGAGTGTAAGAGTTTCCTATGAGACTATTTAATCTTCTTTTTTGTGCTATAAGCTTTGCGGCTGGTATTTTAAGCTTTTGTGGTAGCGTTCAAACCTAAAGTATATGTAATGCAATTCCCAGCAACTGGTTCTGTTTAGTACATTCAATTTTTCGAGTTTTTCATGATCTTAAAACCCTATATATATATATATATATATATATATGATGGCTTTGATTCATAGTTCTCAGTAAGACGGACACCTTTCTCCCATCTACAATTGGATTTGTTTGGAATTGGTTTTACATACTTAATTGGATTCATAGTTCTCAGCAAATCCAATTGTAATTGAATTGAATTGAACTTTTTTCCTATTGAGGAAAAAGATGCACATGCGTGGAGAAAATGTTTTTAAGTGAAGAGTGAACAAGAAGGCACAAAGAACGGAGACAAACACTATACTCTTATTTGAACTGCGGACTACATGAGTTCTGACTCACTTAATCTGAGTCTAACTTGATAGAATCCCACGTAAGTGCATCACTGGCAGGGGCAGGTTCTGAGGCTGCCAAAGTAGGATTTCCTCGTCCAAATTGCAGGCATCTTCTTGTCATCCTCCTTCATCCTCTCAGCATATTTATTTATTTATATCAAAACCTGATGCTCCCTCCGTCTTTCTTTTGACCGACAAATTACGCATTTGATCCCATGGTTGTCCATGAAACCATTAGGCCACAATCCTGCTAGCTGAATCATATGAGACTAATTAAGTCAGGAAAGCTTCATACATTTAGGTGATTACAAAAGCCTTTAAAAGAACACTTTCAGAGATGTACCATTACTGGTTGAAAGTTGCTATGTTGAATTCAGATATCACAACTCTTTGTGAAAGAAAATATTACATTGGGGGTAGGGGTGGGTGTGTGTGTTTGTGGGCAGAGAGAGAGAGAGAGAGAGAACAGGCACTCAAAATTCAAATTGAAGCATTCAAGTGAAACGACCAAAAACTAAACTGCAAACCTCCAATACTGCAGTAAGAAGAATCAAATCCTAGATCAACTGCCTTCATGTTACATTGCATCGTACAGAAACTTTAAACAGAGCATGTTGGAAGCTGCAAGAGAGCACAGGCAATACAAATCACAAATCAGGGAAAAATACAGCGAAAAAAGTGAAGTACCTCAGCATAGAGCTTTCTTATTTGGGGACCTGCATCTTCATCCAGCCCCTAGAACCAAGAAATAAAGACCAGGGAATCAGGCAACAATAAAGGAATTTATCTGCAAAATAAAGGAACAAAATTTTCAATGACGGAATTTGCAAGCTTGAGTCAGTACATCAACAAAAAGGTCATAGGGGTCACAAATCTTATCCTCCAATGCAGCATCCATGCTAAGTTTTCTTTGAGAAAGTTCTTTTGCTCCAGAGGCAATTTCTTGAAAATCATCTGATGCTCGAGATTGTTGTTGCAATGCCTGAAAACATATTATGCACTTTCCATTAGAGCCACAGACAAAGGTTATTCTTATTACTCTTTCCATTATGACATGGTGCAAGCATCACGAGGGGAAATGGAAAAATAAAATCAACGGTTCGGAATCTTCTCACAACGGAACAAATATGAAATATCTTCCACAGAAGGCACTACCTAAAACACGAGTTACTGAAAAAACCACTATTCCATTTGTGGCAAAGATAGCAAAGTAACACTAAAGAAAGGATGGTTAAAAAGATATAATACAAAATAAATAAATAATCAAATCGCGCAAGTAATGTGGGATGACTTGGTCAAAAGCAACAAAGACAAGTGAACAACCAGCAATGGAAACAAAGCTGGGGAAACCAGGTCAACATTAGGAATGTAAAGAAAGAGGCCCTGTCTCTTGAATTAGCATAAGCAAATGCCCCATGAAAACAAAAGACGGTAGTCAAGAGCAACAAAATGAATTGTGATACCTTTAATGTTCTGAGCTGTATTAAGTGACCAAGGATATTCATTTGAGTAACCCTTTCATTATTTTCCCATGGCTAGCCTGCTGCAACAGAAAGAGCATTTATTTTTAAACTTATTACAGGTTTCAACTTAATATGTATGCGAGTTTGTGAATACGACTATTCAAATAAACCAAAACACCAAGAGTTAAACAGTTACAATCAAAATGGATTTTTCAGAATACCGCTAGTCTAGCAACTCTAGCAAGTTTCGCCTTTATATCTCTTGGCAATCTCCTTGTAATTGCTTGGGATAAATTATCTGCCTCTTGATTATCCACAGCAGGTGGCCTAGCTGTAATTGTACACAGAAGGAAAGATCGTTTGCAAAGGAGCTTCCTCAAATCATCATCTACAAAGCATAGAGAGGGTACTGGGACAAACCCAAAATATCATTTAAAACAAAAGAAGAAAACAAAAATTCAAAGGAATAATATAACTTTATGCAACCACCTTCTCTAAATCCGTAATAGCCTTTTCAAGCATTGAACTTTTTGACCTTACACTGGAACTATCCCTTTTCGGCCCATGTGAAGGTTTTTGCAACATGTTAATGTTCAAAATCAAAACTACCATCATTGAGAAGAAGAAAAAAGTACAAGTTAGGAAAATATGCAGATGCTGATCCACTGGGAACAAAGAGAACCTTAAGGACAACCTCAATATTTCAATACCGTTGAAGAAAAAGACTATAAATGTTTAACATCTGAATACCTGTAAGTTTAAACAACTGTATTTACAGACCCTGGATTCAGGATATATGGATCACGATGAAGCCTTGACTCCAAGCTTGAAGCAAACATGCCAAAGTCAAATTATACGACATTGTATAGTGAGACTTGCTAAAACAGTTCTAAAGTTTTTTATTAGCTAAAATGTACCAAACTATCAAATTCCAACATGATTGACATAGAAATAAATTATAAGGCATTAAATTTTGAAAATACAGAGAGAGAAATTAAAGGAACTGGCCTTGTATTTTCCAGCCAAGACATTTTTCACAATGACAAAGTTAACATCCAAAGATGCTTTAGCATGCAAAACTCCCCCCATTGCTATTACTAACTTCTCTATCTTAACCTGCAACACAATAATAAGCATCAAAATATCAATAATGAGAGAAAGAGAGAGATAGAGGTCAGTCACTACAAGTAACCAGAAGATTTCTAGTAAAATTGTTCCTGTTGATTACAATACAGAATATAAGAATGCATATTTTAAAATAGTAACAATAGAAGAAAATTCAGAAAGGTAAGATGGATAACAAACTTTATCAAATGGAACCAGCAAGCACATGATGATTTTGCTGTTGGACTCGGAAACTACAATTGCTGATGTAGCTGAGCCAAGAAATTTTTAAATAAGTAATCTAGATACATAACATACAGTTACCTTTTCGTCTCCCTCAAAACCAGAGGCAAGTACTTTGAAACCATCCATTGCAAGGCAACAAGTAACTTGCCAAATTTACAAATCACCCTGAACCTTGACAAGAGTTGCACAAATTCGTTCTATATAAAACTTATGCTGGATTACAACATTACATCACTTAGCATGGACCTTTTAGCTGACAGGACAGGACAAAAAAATTCCTAAATTTCTCCTGCCCCATCGAGATTATCCTCTATTTCCCACCTTTGAAGAAATTACACATGGGATCATAAGACCGTTTCAATAGAATGCCTGACCTTCATCTCCTTTATAGAACAAACACTTATGTCTGCAAAATTAAATCAGAATGTGTTGGACTGGCATTCAACTAATATGGGAATAACCCTTACTCAAACCATTTTTAGAGGCGAGAACTAAATAAAAGAAAAAACAGAAAGGAAATTCATGCAATTCATTGGTTTCCAAGTATCTATTTCAAAGAACTTTAATGTCGCAAATGGCTACATTGTTGAAACAGTCTCTCCTTTGAAAGGTGTCAGATCTACAAATCAACCTTGCAAAAAGTTGCATTACAACAACATTACATCACTTCTTTTAGGCCCTGATATCATTCAGCAAGTCTTGACGCCCTTCAATGAATAAGTCGTTCTTGTGTTTAAAGACTTTACCATCCTGGCTCACTCCAACAAATCCCTAATCAAAATATAAGACACTCCAATAGTTATTAAATACAAAATTTGATACTTATATGCAAATCTTGATACTTCAAACAATTTATTAAAGTAATACTTACAAACACCTCCAACGTCAAACTGAACTCCGAGAGGTTTGATATACGGCCCAAGAACCCCCACTCGATCAGTTGTGCCACACCACCCAGATCATTAACTGCGAATGCATCCGGGGTAATCCATTGCATGCAATTGATGAGGTTGTTGCTTACAAGCCAGTGTAACACTCTTGGGAAACCCAGATTATGGGTGACAAAAATGTTACGGGCCAACTGGCGTCGGTGTAACAGGTCGACGATAGCACGGTTCCTTACATCAATTGCGGAGGCAGGGGCAGCAGGGCTTTCAGTGAAAGCAACGGCATCACGTGCCTCCTCCACCAGTAACATTAATTCATCTGATTCTTTTTGTTTGAAGGAATCATCAGATGCTTGTAGTTGTACTGGTGATTTAAGAATTGCCGCCGCTTCCATTTGATTATACATCTCCTTAATAACTACGGCGGGCTCGGCTTCTGGGTTGACGTCGACTGGAAGCGTTGGTTTTTTGAAGCCTGGTGTCGGGACTGTGGCGGTGGCGGCTGCCGCGGCCTCTGCAGCTTCTGCTATAGACAGGGCTAGATCTTTGCCATTCATCAGAATCCTCAGTTTCATAGGTGGGGCTTTGGGGGCTTTGGGAGCTTTGAGGGTTTTTGGGGTTTTGGGGGCTTTGGGGCCTCTGGTGGCTTTGGAGGTTGCGGCCGCATTTTCTGCAATGGCCATGTTAAGGTCTTTGCCGTCTATCAGTATTTTCAGTTTGATTGCAGCAGCTACTTCAGGCGGATGCTCTGGTTCTACTTCAGGTGGATGCTCTGGCTCAGCAAATTCATATCCCTTGGCATTGAGTTCAGCATAAAAGGAGTCAATTGGGTTCCGAGGAGGTGATGCTGCCACGGCCGTCGGAGCTAACGTAGGCTGAGGAGGGAGCAGAGGACCAGTAGGCTGAGGAGTGAGCGGAGTGGAGGGAGGGACAGAGGCCTCAGAATCGGAAGGAGAAGCCATTAAAGTACAAAGAAGGAAGAAATCAGTGTGTTTCGGAAGCAAGAACCATCAAGAAAACCAAAGAAAATGAGGGGAGTAGGAAGTCTCAAGAAAAGTCGAATTCTCTCAATCCCCTAACAATAATTGTCAGAGAAAGAAGAAATCAGATGTTTGAGAAGCGGGAAAGAGCAAGAAAAAGAAAGAAAATGAGGGGAGAACAGTCGCGAGACAGAACAGAAGGCTGAGCTGCCATACCGAGAAATGAATATTCTCACTTAATTAACAATTAACTGTCACGCTGTAAATATATAAAAACCAAGGCTGAGCTGCCAGCTGTACAATTTGTTATATCCACTAATTCCAATAATCACTTAACTAACCGTAACAACAATAACAGCTTGCACTTAATCACTAAGTGATCATTGAGTGTGGTGGTGGTGGTGGTGGTGAAGAAATCAGATGTTTGAGAAGCGGGAAAGAGCAAGAAAAAGAAAGAAAATGAGGGGAGAACAGTCGCGAGACAGAACAGAAGGCTGAGCTGCCATACCGAGAAATGAATATTCTCACTTAATTAACAATTAACTGTCACGCTGTAAATATATAAAAACCAAGGCTGAGCTGCCAGCTGTACAATTTGTTATATCCACTAATTCCAATAATCACTTAACTAACCGTAACAACAATAACAGCTTGCACTTAATCACTAAGTGATCATTGAGTGAGATGACTGGTAATGATTCTTTATACAATTATATATATAGTTCACTATCATTACTATGCATAAGCATCTGATGTAATATGATGAAGTTTTCAAATAGACCATATTATATATCTATATTAAATTCTGAGTGTAAGAGTTTCCTATGAGACTCTTTAATCTTCTTTTTCTTTTTTCTTTTTTGTGCTATAAGCTTTGCGGCTGGTATTTTAAGCTTTTGTGATAGTGTTCAGACCTAAATTATATGTAATGCAATTCCCAGCAACTGGTTCTGTTCAGTACATTCAATTTTTCGAGTTTTTCTCCATCTTCAAACGCTGAACTTTATATGTCAAGGAAAGGTTTAACTTGTATATATAATGGCTTTGATTCATAGTTCTCAGTACGACAGACACATTTCTCCCATCTATAATTGGATTTGTTTTGAATTGGTTTTACATACTTAATTGGATCGGATTGGATTCTAATATAGCAAATCCAGTTGCAATTGAATTGAATTGATCTTTTTTTCTATGAGGAAAAAGATGATGCGCATGCGTGGAGAAAATGTTTTAAGTGAAGAGTGAACAATAAGGCACAAAGAACGGAGACGAACACTAAATCTCTTATGTGAATTGTGGACTACATGAGTTCTGACTTACACAAGGCGAATACATTCATTGAGTCTCCAAAATGGTCAAATAAATTGATAACTCGAGTTCACAGAATCCCTCTAAATCTTTGGTACCTAACCAGACAGCCAAAAAGGGTCAGCAAGATACAGCAGTTCAGTTAACTCATCATGTACCTTGAGCCATTATTATACTCAATGTACATCTTCGGTAGCGTTTCTGGTACCGGCAGCCACCAGTTCGTCATGGTCTGAGACAACTTCTGGTTCTATCCCATGGGACGAGGAACTGTCTGTTTTTTCATTATCAGATGCATCAGAATCTGAGTCTAACTTGATAGAATCCAATGTAAGAGCAGCACTGGTAGGGGCAGGTTCTGAGGCTGCCAAAGCAGGATTTCCTCTTGTCCAAATTGCAGGCATCTTCTTGTCATCCTCTTTCATCCTCTCAGCATATTTATTTATATCAAAACCTGATGTATCATTTCCCCCAAATGCAGCCTCCAGTTTATCAATATCAAATAAATCCTCCATTATCTTCTTGGCGTTGACATCATCCGAGTAAACAAACTTGACTTTGTTGTAAGTCTTTGGCTCTAGAAAAGGCTTTACCATCTGCAACAAAAGACATTATTTTAAGTATCATAGCCACCAAGCTGATATATTTGGCTATAGATTTCTCCACATTAATACAAATCTACCAAGTACCAAGCGACATCCTCTCTATTTGAGACTTTACTAAAAGGGGAAAAGGGGATGGCCAGCCCCTTGGAATGGCACAGGATAACATGAAACTGCCAAAAAAAATCATGTTTACGAGTGTACAAATTTTATTACTATGGATCTTATTAATTTATCACGAAAAAGTTTGGCTTTCTTCCACTTTCAAATTTAGGTTATGATTCGCAATTCATATGCCAAAAGGAAATATGACCAAAGGCCAAAAGCTGTATAACAGCGAAAAGATACTGTTACAGCTTTATAAAAATGATCATCTGCAAAGTATAGAGCTAGTGAAAACTTTAACAACAAAATTTGCAATCAACTGGGCTTACCGTAAAGAATGGTTCAAAAAACTTTGGTGGATTGTACAGTATTGCAAGACCTAGGCGTTCTGGATAATGGTCTTGTAAAACATGGGCAGTTTCCCGTGTCAACTTCACTGAAATATGTGACAAATTGAAACCCTGAAAATCTATCATCCAAACCATTTGTTCCTGATCTGGAGGTAGATTTAAAATAGCATTCTCCATGCAGTATACCAAGTATCTAATCTGTCCTTTTGTCGACTTTGAGTTCTGCAATTAAAAGAAACTACGAACTGTTAACAAGGAAAAATAGATTTCTTCTGAAATATAGATCTCCAAAGCATTACATTTGTGGGTATATATAGCATATCCTATTATCAGGAATTCGAGAAGATGCTATAGGCAATGATTTTGTCACTGATCGTGCACTACGATTAATAAATATGCTTATTATCTCTTTTTGGAAAAACTATCTGCTTCAATATGGGATATTTTAGTTAGATAAGATGAATAAAGCTGACAAATAACAACAGTTTTACAGCACATAAGATTCCACATGTAGCTCAGAGTCAAATTCAAATATTAAGTTATAGCTAACTTATGAATCACAAATAATTCATGGAGGTGTCAGAAGGGCTTTGAAGATAAAACCTGACAACTAGGTCTCATGACAAGAACTGGTCTCCCATGCTTGTCAAAATAATTTGATCTGTAAATTTTCCCTGTTTCTGCTTCACGAGCTACCTCTTCCTGTATTACAAATGGAAATGATGAATTTGTAAGAACATTGTTACTTCAGTAATCATATACTAGAAGAACTTGACATGGATCCACAACCTCCAACCCTAACGACTCCAGATGACCCTTGTAATTATCTGGGTTTGAAGTAATTATAGCTATGCTGGACTCTTGAGTGTCTATCAATTTTCTTACAGTTTACTAGATAGGTGGGGTTGAATTCAGAAAGAACTGCTAATAGGTGTGGAAGGTTGAAATTTTACAAAATCCAGAAAGGTCAATTGACTCAGGTTCAGTACACTGAACCACAACCATATAAGCCAGTTCAGTATGCACTGAAAACAAAGAAAGAAAAACAAAGGATGCAACCTGCAGAATATATCAGGCTTCATTTGACTACTAGTACACTATCAGAGTAGGGAACCTGTTTTAAGCAGGATGAAAAGGTAGAATCTGGCAGACATTGTGTATGTGAATTCGGACTACAAAGCAATAAATGATAGCATACCCAACGAATCTCCTCCGGTTTGTACTCTGCCCTCCATTTCAAGGTATCTTTTAACATTTTCGTAGCTTTCTTGACATTCCAGTTTCTTGCCCTTAGATGCCTTGAGATGGATCCATCAGAACAATAAATGGACAACTTATCAGGCAATGTTCCTATCAACCTCTTCACTTCGTTAATCTGCATATATGAAGAGTGTTGCAGGATAAATAGATTTTCTCCCCAAAATAAGGATAGTATTATCATGCCCCAACTTAAGGAATTAAAATAAGTTAAAGAAAGCGATTATAGAAATGCTAAAGGAGCACTTTTACTGCAGATACCTTTGCCTGCTGCTCTTCAAATGATAAAATCTTCTCAGAGCCATTTGAAGGGGATTTCTTTATTCCCGTACTCATAGTTCTCAGAGAAGAATCTGTAAATCAACAATGAAGACTCCAGAACTTAAGTACTAATGTCTTGTTCCCATTTCAGTCTCCTCTCTCCATCACTTACATATACAAAAAAGTGCAAAAACAAAAGGCAAGTTCTCTATCCTACAAAAACAAAACGATATTTTAAGCTTATCCCTAGAGAACCAGAATTAAATTTCTTAATTGAACACTATGGAAACTAGCATATTGCAGTCATGAAGTACATCAACATAGTTATATTATTGTTTTAAGATTGAACGGTCAACTCAACTATGGTCAATACATATTTTTATAAGCTACAAAACACTTGAATGAGCAATGAAAACAATTAAACCAATCTTATTCTGAAAAATCAAAAAGCATGATTCAAGAAAGGCTAGCACATTTCAAGAATAGACATTGTGACAGAATTCATCATGTATGGGATCACATTCATTTTTTGAAAAGAGGGGTCACATTCATTTATATTATGTTTTAATTTTGTCAGAAGTTATTTAGATTTACATGTTAGTTACATCTGCCAATTACTCAATTATTAAGTTACTAATCCAAATACTACAGAAAAGAAAAGACACAACGGAAATGAATACTATTGAATTGGTTTCTACAGGCACGGAAAAATTGGTTTCCAAGCATCTATTTCCAAGAATTTAAATAACCTCAATGACTACATTGTTGAAACCTAGTTCCCTGCTCTCAAGCTGTCAAATTTACAAATCACCCTGAACCTTGCCAAGAGTTGCACAAATTCGTTCTATATAAAACTTATGCTGGATTACAACATTACATCGCTTAGCATGGACCTTTTAGCTGACAGGACCACAAAATTCCTAAATTTCTCCTACCCCCTTGAGATTATCCTCCCACCTTTGCAGAAATTACACATGGGATCATGTCAGTTTCAATAGAATGCCCCACCTTCATCTCCTTTTTGGAACAAAAACTTTTCTGTCTGCCAAACACTAACGAACCTATGCCATTCAACAATTTCACGATTCGATCAATAATGTCAACCATAATACAATCCTATAACCTTTTCCTTGAAAGCATATGCATTTCCTTTCTATTACGAACAAAATTACATTGGCATTATTTTATTAACTGGAAACAGCATATGCATTGTCATTTCTATAACCACGAGATGACTAACAAGAATTTGTGTCACCATTTGGTAGCACTGAAATCCTACTCAAAACCTTCAGTCTCAACCTTA